AGAAACAAAAGCGGTTACAGTTTGTGAGATTAAGATTTGTTCAGTGAGTTGAGATCACTGAATTAGATGACTAATCAAAATCAAAATTCTGTTACCAAGGGAGTGAGAGGTTAATCACACTCTCTTTCTGTATGCATAAGTCTGGTTTAAGTCGTTTGATTGTGATTGCTTCGGCAAATCGTAGTAAATTTGCTGTCCTCTGTCTATTTAATATTTTGAAGGACTTAGAAATCTCTACGAGATGTCCGGTATCAACAATGTGTCTGGTAATTGCACTCTGGGAATATCTGCTTCCTTTCAGGCAAAGGTTTTTGGGAATATGTTCAGAAAACCGGATAGAAGCCCTTCTTTCTGTCCTTCCAATGTACTTGCTCCCGCAAGTGCACGTGAATTCATAAACACAGTTGGGAGTGACATCAGCAGGGTATTTATCCAGTTTTGAGTGGATTAAAGAAGGAGTGGTGCTGTATACTGTTATGAGTTTTGCTGCCGGGAAGCTTCTATTTATTGCACCTTTCAATCGCTTCATCTCTGTCTCCGGTAGTGGTAGTAGATCCGTTTGTTTACAAATTATATCAATTGTTTCCATCAGTGGTACGTTTGTAAACAAGGAGGTCACGTCATATGATACCATGAGTTTGTCTGATATGTCGATATTGTCAACTTCCTTGGAAAATTGATAACTATCCTTCAGGCTGTGGGTTGCAAATTTAATTCGAATGGGCTCTATAGAATCAGCTAACCATCGAGTTAGCTTGTAGCATGGTGAGTCAATCATTGACAGGATTGGTCTTGAGGGCACATTTGCTTTATGAATTTTTGGTAGGCCGTACATAGACGGCAGGCGTCCACCTTTTGACTTCAGTTTATTATATGTTTCGCCTCTAACGAAGAAACTAATCAACAACGACCCACAGCCTGAAGGATAGTTATCAATTTTCCAAGGAAGTTGACAATATCGACATATCAGACAAACTCATGGTATCATATGACGTTGTGGTGAGAGCAGGCTGCTAGCCGATTGGTTGGCACTAATCTACGTTAAGGTCTAGGTCACTAATATGGGCCGTGAGAAAATATGAACAAGCCTGAGTCAACAACCAATCACAGCAAAGTTAACGTGGCAGAATATGATTCGCAGAGAGAACTCTATTTGTCAAGGAATCCCGAAACAACCAATCAGAAGCCTGCGTTTGTCTACCTAAACAACCAATCAGATGACTGCGCTTGTCTATAATAATGTAGTTGAAAGATGTATAAATACGTGTTGATTTTCATAATAAAACGATCTGTTGCCTGGCCCTTGTCTTCTGTTGTTACATTTGGTGTCGCTGCCTACCGACAAATGAAAAGCCTATACCCTGCAGTTTTTGATGGAGACATATGGATCTTCGGGCAGGACTTCAAGGCTTCTGCGCAGTTGAGTGGCGTTCAAGATCTGTCAGCGATGGAGCTGCTACTTGAGACGCTGCTGGGAGGTCGGGCGAAAGCAGCATATGAAGGTGTCGGCCGAAGTATGGACGAATGTTCGACAGGGTCAGGCAAACAGTTTCCAAAGTGGGAAGGACCATATATGGTCACTTCGAGATGGGGTTACGCAGACACAGTCGCAATGGCGAACAATGAGAGGCGCGTGAACGTCAGCGAGCTCCAGAAATGGATACAGCGAGACAAGCCAACGATGACGCCTGCACCAAGTAGATCAAGCCGACTTCAGTCGCACGTATTTGACGGGGGGACGAGTGTGGTGAGAGCAGGCTGCTAGCCGATTGGTTGGCACTAATCTACGTTAAGGTCTAGGTCACTAATATGGGCCGTGAGAAAATATGAACAAGCCTGAGTCAACAACCAATCACAGCAAAGTTAACGTGGCAGAATATGATTCGCAGAGAGAACTCTATTTGTCAAGGAATCCCGAAACAACCAATCAGAAGCCTGCGTTTGTCTACCTAAACAACCAATCAGATGACTGCGCTTGTCTATAATAATGTAGTTGAAAGATGTATAAATACGTGTTGATTTTCATAATAAAACGATCTGTTGCCTGGCCCTTGTCTTCTGTTGTTACAACGTGACCTCCTTGTTTACAAACGTACCACTGATGGAAACAATTGATGTTATTTGTAAACAAACGGATTTACTACCACTACCGGAGACAGAGATGAAGCGAATTCTACTGCTTTGCACAAAAGATATGCAATTCAAATTCAACAATCAACTTTACCGACAAATCGATGTGGTTGCGATGGGTTCGCCTCTGGGACCTATCCTGGCTGATATCTTCATGGGTTATATTGAGGAGACACAACTAAGTTCTGCTATCAATGGAACGACCTACTATCGCCGATATGTTGATGACACATTTGTTGTTTGCAACGATATGGATCACGCATCGGCACTATATGATCGCCTAAATGAGATACATCCAAATATCAAATTCACCATGGAATATGAACATAATAATGAGTTCAATTTCCTGGATCTAAATGTAAAAAGAACAAACGAAGGCATGGTCGAAAAGTCCATCTATAGGAATGAAACCTGGACTGGACAATATCTTCACTATAACAGCTTTTGTCCCATAAGCTATAAACGTGGATTAGTGAGGACTTTGTATTTGACAGCCAGGAAGCTATATTCACCAAACAGGGTCGAAGAAGAATTAGTTTTCGTCGAGAAATGCCTAAGGGAAAATGGATACCCTAAGGGATTTATACAGAAGTACAGAAGAGAAAAAGATGAGAAAGGAAAGCATCCAACTGTAAAAGAAAAGTGTTTATTTGTCTACCATACAAAGGAGATGCAGTGTCACAAAAGATTGAAAGGTGCAATAAATAGAAGCTTCCCGGCAGCAAAACTCATAACAGTATACAGCACCACTCCTTCTTTAATCCACTCAAAACTGGATAAATACCCTGCTGATGTCACTCCCAACTGTGTTTATGAATTCACGTGCACTTGCGGGAGCAAGTACATTGGAAGGACAGAAAGAAGGGCTTCTATCCGGTTTTCTGAACATATTCCCAAAAACCTTTGCCTGAAAGGAAGCAGATATTCCCAGAGTGCAATTACCAGACACATTGTTGATACCGGACATCTCGTAGAGATTTCTAAGTCCTTCAAAATATTAAATAGACAGAGGACAGCAAATTTACTACGATTTGCCGAAGCAATCACAATCAAACGACTTAAACCAGACTTATGCATACAGAAAGAGAGTGTGATTAACCTCTCACTCCCTTGGTAACAGAATTTTGATTTTGATTAGTCATCTAATTCAGTGATCTCAACTCACTGAACAAATCTTAATCTCACAAACTGTAACCGCTTTTGTTTCTTGAGTTGCTATGTGAACCTACAAGCTAACACTGTTCTGTTAATCAATTTTTCTGTTTTCTGTCTTACCCCTCCCCCTCTTTTCAACTTTAAAAGCGTATAAATTGATGATGATACATATATATATAATCGTCATTAATAATATTGGTGTTTTTAAATACTATCGATTTGTTAAGTAATGAAATTACAGTTAAAGGAAAGACGCCTAAGTTATTTATAATGAGCATAAAATGTAATAACAAATAGAATATCAAACAAAATTAAAGAAAATTCCGCAGCAAAAAAGGGATCATTAGAATCTTGATGGCCAAGGTAAGGACAATGTCTGAAATAAATTCGTTTGAATACATAAATCAGGTTTCTTAATGTGGATCTCAACGCCCTCAGAAGACGAACTCTTTAGGTAAAGTTAAAAATTAGTTGGTATGCGGTAAATAACATTGAAAGCGTTGTTAACATCAATCTTGTGTTCCATGTATCCAAAAAATGAGATAGAAGAGAGCTATAAATGGATTTTGTTTGTCCATTACTTAACCACGCAGGATGATGTTCAGAAATCCGACGATAGACACGCCTACTTGTACGGCCTATTTAACTGGCTCCACAGGAGCAGTCAAATTGGTAGATACACATGGAACAGGTGAAATTGAGCAGTTTATCTTCCGAACGCAAAACAGAGGTGGTTTTGAAGACACAGAATAATTCAGCAGCACTGAATATATAGTCTTTTTACAGCGTTTCTTAGGCGTTGTGTTAACATCTCACTGATGTTATCCCAGAGGAACTGAAGTTGTAAGGATAAGGCCTTTTTCAGAACTGTTGGTACTTTGGCCTACCTTCACTTTTGATTCATATTCTTATCAATGAACTTTTCTGGGTAACTGTTTTCAATCAACAACTGTTTAATAATATTAAACTCTTCATTAAGACTTAATTGGTGGATGGTGACTAGCAGTGGAATCCAGGATGCGCATTTCGTCCTATTTGGGACTCGTCATCTGGATGTACCTGCATTTCTCAGCGAGTGATGATGTTCCCACCGAGGCTCGCACCCAGTACCCATAGTTTCAAACGCCAAAGCGTTATCCACTAGACCACTCTTCATTAAGACATTCATCAGAGTAGATTGCTTTTGCTCTGTGAACCAGGCACTCTATTACATTGAGTTAGCATATTTTGAGGCCCGAAGTTGAAAAATGATTATACTGACCAGTTGATGTATGTTTTCGATATACGCTTCTTCTTATTGTACCATCCTCCTTTCTAGTCATAAGAACGTCTAGAAATGAAACACTAGAGTCCCTTTCTTTCTCGATGGTAAAATTTATTGCAGGATGAACATCGTTAAATTTGTCAAGGACGTCCTTTGGTTTCATCTTCATTTTCCATAACAAAAAATGTATAATCCATGTACTGACAGTAGAATTCTCGTTCATCAATTACATATTTCAAAGCCTATTCTCTAGTTTCATGAAGCAAAAATATCTACTAGAATGAGTCCTAGTGGTGACTCCATCGCCACACACCATCAATTTGTCTGTATAGTTTCCTTAATGAATAAAAAGTGAACATTCTTTGTACATTTCAAGAAAAACTTTCTTCAGTCATCAATGACTTGTATACATATTAAAAAGGAAAAAACAGGAGAAAAACCAAAGACTTACTAGAACCATTCCCACTAAACATCCAATGAAGAGTCATAGTTGAAAAGACTGCATTTATACTGCATGTATATAATAACCAAACGAATTTATATGGAGCATTAACAACTAAGTAAAAGACAGTAAAAGAAATAAAACACAATGAAATAAATGTTCGATAAATTTCTAAAGAATCATAGCACGCTAAAACAAAACACAACAGGATAATATGTAGCTGTGATGTAAACTCACTTTCAATCCAGTTGGGAGTAAGGATGGATGTCCCGCCAATGACATTGGTTCGTGGTCGCACTAAATCACGTATTGGTAGGAGTGAGAACTTATCGACTGACCATTGAATCGCATCCCAGTGAGTGGCTGAATGGTATAAGAGTTCGCTGGCCCTGTAACTGAAGCTCCTGGGTTCGAAACCCACTCAGTGGCTGCGTACTGGCGATGATTCCCAAACTATTTGAATGAAACAGCTGGTTGTCCAGTACTCCAGTGCTGGTTTTTAATGGTTTTCTAACTGTTAGCAATCCCTGGTGAAACTCGTGTAATAATAATACTTCAAAAAATGCGAAGTTTTTATTCTACTCATAAACAGTAATATTGAAATAAATTAATATCCATATAAATTTGTTTTTTTTTCTATGTGGTTTGAGACGGTAGGACCACGCAGAGAACTACTATGCCCATTCTTCTGTATATTCAATATATAATACTAATTCCCTATCACTCTACAGTACAAATGATTCATATAAGATCGTAAAACATGGAGATAATTTATTCAAGTTGTGAACCGCATCTATTTTCTGACAGCTTCCCGGTTCATCACTAAACTGTAGTACGTGAAGCATCATTCAAAACCTCAATCTATGTCTACAAAGTTAAATGTTAAAGCCAACCACTCAAATATCCATTATCCATCAAGTAACCTACAATAACTAGTAACTATCTTCTATACAACATTTGTCTGACACTGTTACTTGTATATTACGCCAGTGTAAAACCATTTCAACTTACAAAATAAATTGCTCTTATCTTTATTAAAAGTTACATTTGTGCCGACAATAAACCTTAACAATTCACTAAGTGTAATACAGCTACTCTCGTAAAATTTATAAATGCCACTTATCTATATACAGATAAACATACATGTGAGAAATGGAGTAATTTGATTTAAATGCAAAATGTTGGCACATTCAGTCTCTAGACAGTTGAAAGATAATTACGTAATTATATAAGTATGTATGATGAAAAGTAGACCACCATTTTATAATCAATGTTAATTAACCTCAGAATAGGTGTAAAGCATTGATACCGACTGATATGGAGATAAAAGATATGCCTAAATAGCAGCTAAGTAGAAATTTGCACAGACACACAAACACATGCGAAAAAAACGCACGCACAAAAAACGTATTCCGAAAAGATGGACCTCAATAGTTGTCATTCCATATAGAGCGAAGACATCAGACGATATCAGAAGAGTACTCAATAAGCTCGACATCAGAGTTTTCTTCAAAACATCAAACACACTGCGAAACAACCTTGTCCATATAAAAGACCAAATCCCTAAAGATTCCCTGTGTCTATAAATAAAATGCTTGAAATGTGATGCAATATACATAGGACAAACATCGCCTGAGAGAAATCAAAATCAGAAGAAATGAACACAGCAGAGCATCTGTTCGACCACCAAGAAATCTAGTTGAACTAGAAAAGCTTGAAAAATCATCAGCCATAGCTCCTCTACACGCTATAGAATCAGGCCACAAAACTGATTTTGACAATATTGAAATCATCATCCAGAAAAAGCATTTCAGAAATCACAAAGAACGTCTAATATCAGAATTCCTTCATTTCAAGTAGAATCGAAATTGTCTGAACTGAATAGCAGTGATGGACTAAAATAAAATTCGACCTGGTTACAAAACCCCCATCCCTTCCCAATGAAGTGACGAAACCAACACGAATATGACTGATAAGCCATCTCATTATGTAAATACACGCTCCTTTTATAATTTTACACACTTATCAAATCCAACAGTCATCTACACCTGGTTTTATTATCCTTACGAAATGGCCAATTTGACAAGGAAAATGACGCCATCCTGAGGAACGATGATTAAGTTGTTATATACAAGCTTGAGTGGATTTTGTAAATTCTGGTTTAATAATAAAACTACTGATAAAGCTATTAGCAGCAGCATTATATAGAGAAACGTCAGTAAAAACAGGTACGTCTTTTTGTTTTTCATTCATTGGGAAATACAAAGAACCTTTATTATAATGAACATCATATATCCAATGCCCGAATGTTTTCAAAATGTTAAAAGTGAACTTGGTTCGCACATATGTGCTGAACAATAGCTTAACCTTAAAATGAGAATCTTGAAATTATGAAGAATAACTATAGATTATGTAATCCTCTGTGTCTTTGAACACTACTTGGTAACTAGTATTATATGTCAGCCAAGTTAAACTTCAAGCAGCATTAACCATTAATCAGCAAATAACCTTGAATCAAGAAATGAGATCCAGCCACATGAGTTATGGGTTCTATTCCGCTTGATTCGAGTCAAATGCCTGCTCTAACACAGTTGCGCGTTCGATTTAGTGAGGATAAGGTTTCCCAGTATTGCATGGATGTGGGGTTCATTCGGAAAGCAAGGATTTGTTCATGCTGAGGTGCATGAGAATAAAAAGCTTCAGTAGAACGGTTGATGAGTATTTCTATCGTTATGTAGTTCTTCTACAGAATTTAGTGTTTCAAAGAAGGCAAGCTGATTATCCTAATATTTCGTAAAAGCATATTTTGCCAGGCCCCACTTGTCCTTAACCCAGATTTTGTATATTTGTCATTACTAGTTATAAAACAGCCTAGGACAGGTGCAGCTGATAAAACTAAAAATAGTCTCATATCATCAGTTCACTGCTGCCAGCACTGCAGGGACATCACATCCTGAAAAATGGACAGGCTTACTTCCCTATTGAGCGGAAAAGGTGCCGTCATACATGTAGACGAAACTGCCTCACTAAAGAAAAAAGTACAACCATGGTCAAAGACAGGGAACCACACAAGTTACATCGAAAAGTTTTGATGAAAGTTAAAAAACAGGATTAGAGCCATTAATGGATCACAAGAGGATGAAATTTATAGTGGCGTCGGTGGCACACTTCTTAAGACACTCGCCGACCAGGCATATGGTCCGAAGTTCGATCCCCTGCCGACCCACACCTGATATTTATGGTCGGCCTGGGAAATTTGGGCTACCGATAAACATGTTGAAAATTCCCTATTTGTAACAGAACTACAGTGTAGAAACAAGCTGTAATCAAAAATAAATAAAAAATTTAGATGAACATATGTACAGAAGTGGTGTGACCTTTCAAATGATAGTCCCATGCGAAACTAGGAGATGTATTTACCACATGTGAGAGAAATGTTTCCTATGTAATAACTTTGATGCATTGTATTCATAAATATATTTTTCAATAGTTGGTTTGTAAGGATTAGATTTGTTTCTACGAGTTGAACAGGGAGTGTTATCATTGCGAGAGCCAGTGAAAACCAGCACTGGAGTACTGGAGAGCCAGCCGTTTCATCCAACTAGTTTGGGAATCATCGCCAATACACACTCACTGGGTGGGTTTCAAATCCAAGACCTTCCGGTTGCACGGTCAACAAGATCGTATACCATTCGACCACTCATTAAGATGCGCTTCAATTGCCAGCCCATGAATTCTTATTTCTAACAATTCGTGATTTAGTGTGACCACAAACTAATGTCATCGGCGGGACATCCATACTCACACTTGACAGGATGGACCTCATTGGTCACGACTTCTCACAAGAACTGCAAGAAACTCCGTATACGAGCTTGCCTTATAACCGGGAGGTCCTGGGTTCGAACCCAGGAGTGAGTGCGTACTGCCGATGATTCCCAGACTAGGATGAAACAGCTGGTTGTCCAGTACTCCAGTGCTGGTACTCAACGGTTCTCTAACTGATACCAATTTGTGGTCAAATTCATAAAAATCATAAATATATGTATTCCATGATCAAAACTACTTCCCGTCATGTAATTGGTGATTTCAAGGTCATCCGCTGAATGGTAGCTAAGTAGTCCTTAAGGTTTAACTTTGCCCATGTGTCTAGTCGTTGATGTTGATGCTGACTGAATTCTACCAGCCAAGTTTGCAATGTGACCACCACCATGTTGGATGACTTGCCATTGCAATGCACTCTGAATTGTTCTTATCAGGTGGTTGAAGACAATTGGCTGGAAGTTTTGGATCTAGATTTTGTGCTTGTTGGCAGTTGTCAGCTAGGCATATACGCAATCCTAAAGGAACTTATATCGATAGACGCATAATACTAGTTGCCAACTACTGCCCAATAAAAGTATCTGTTAGAGTCCTACAAAAGATCAATCGTGAGCTCGAATAGCTAAGTGGTGGTAACTTCTCTGACAGAAGCACAGAGTGACTAGGGTTCGAATCTCAGGAGGGATATGAGTATTTTCAAGATTGAGGATATGCCTTGCTGACGTGTACCAAAAAGCACGAAGTCTAGATCCAATGCCTCACAACCGTCTCATAACAACAATTCAGAATGAATTGTGACGGCGCTCCATCTAGCATGGTGATCACATTGTGGTGGCCTGCTTAAAAATTGGGCTACCAAAAACTACCACTTCTCTATTGCATACATTTCCTCTCGTTCGGTTTGTCTTAAACAATTAAGATATGACCTCTAATGGTATTATCTACTCTTGTGTGTAATTAAAATGTTTACAAGCTTCTGATTCGCAAGTTCCTACTAAACTTGAAGAAAGGTCTGATTGTGGGTGGCAACGTGCCCCCATATATGAGATAACTGCTCCTCATTTATGTCCTTGGATCTTAAAATGTACTTCTGAACATCTTACAATTGGATTTCAACCAGATATCGTGGATTTCTTGAAGGAGACAAAGCAGATATATCATAATGGAATGGCTTGTGCTTCAGCGCTCTGAGACCGTTGTGTCACACAAAATACTGTCAATTAATATTTTACTTGAAGATATTGTAAGAAGGGAAAGTATCATGCAATAAACTCCTCTGGAAATTCTGTACATTT